TGCGTCCGCCATCCTCCCGCGCACATGTCTGTCGAGGCTTCTTCGATTGTGTGAAAGATTACAGGCGACAACAACCTCGCTGCGCTCGCCTTTTCGACGAGGACGACGAGGACCACACCAACCCTTAAGTAGCGAAGGCGCCGGGCGAAGCGGGTCCGCGGCGCAGGAGGCACAAGAGAGCATCATGCCGGACTTCGTCCCCTGAAATGGCTGGAAATGGGTCGCTAACTCGGTGTTTTACAGGGTTAGAGCAAGGGTAACAGCGGACACCACAGCTAAATCGCTTTAGCCTTCCTGGAGTCCCATCTGCTCCAGACGCATCCAATGGCTTCCTTGCGCTCGAACTGAATGTGACGTACAAAATGGTACTTTTACCAAGGAAATGGGGACGAGTAGCCGTCATATGGTAAGCTGCATCTCGGGCCATGATTACACTTGCGAAGGTCTACTTTATTCATCTTCTTTCTAGGACGACAGAGTCTCTCTGTCTCTCTCTCTCTCTCTCTAAACGTGGATGGTATCGAAACAGACAAGGAAATCGCTCGTTCAGGTGTTGTTACAAACAAAGGACAACAACAAAGGAAAATCATGGAACATTTAGTGTTGGGCGGGCGCATTGCTCTCGCCACCGTCCTCCGGGACCTTGCCCTCAGGCGGCGGCAGTCTAACAATGAGCAACAACGTTAGCGCGATCAAGCAGAAGGCTGCGACACCCAAGTAGGGCAAGCCGATCCAGAGCCCTCCCATCTTCATGCCCAGGCTGAATAGGCCTGCGAGCAGCGGCTGCGCGTAGGTCTGTCCTGCAGTCTCAACCAGCGAGATGATGGAAAACAGCCGGGTGCGATGCGCCGCGTCGACATAGACGTTGCTGACGCTCTTCACGTAGCTGCCCCAACCGGTACCCAGCGACAGGATGGCGAGGCCGCCGATGAAAGATCCAACCGTTGGCGATGCGGACATGCTCAGGGAACCGATCAGCAGCGCCACGGAGGACAGGCGGGCCAGGAAGAGGTCGCGTTGGTGGTCGTCCGATAGGCGCAGCGACTTGGGCATCTTCGTGGATGCGAGGAGCCTCGAAAAGGCCGGCAGGATGAGCAAGATCGAAAGCAAGACGCCCGTGCCATACAGGGACGACAGGTAGCCAGTCTGCGACAGCGAGACGTGGTATCGCTTCGAGGCGAAGATGGACATGAACTGCAGCGTCGACAGCATGACGGGGTAAGAAGTGAGCATCGCTACAAGCAGAAGTATGAGGGACGGCGACTTGAACAGAGCCAAGGACTCCTTCAGACGGAGAATTGTGTGCTGTATGGCCCCAAGCGCGGGAGACTCGACCTCGGGCTCGTCCTCAATTGGGTCATCGGATACTTGGGCAGCTGGCTTGGTCTCGGGAATGAGGTGGATGGTGAATATCAAGGTCGAAAAGAGGCCAAACGCCAACCCCATGACGGGCCAAGGGCCGGTCTTCTCCATCATCCAGCCGGCGATGGCGGGGGCGCACAGGTTGCCAATCATTGACACCAGGTGAACATGCATGAAGCTCTTTGCCCTGGTACAAATGTTAGTATCTCTCGACGATCGACGGAGTAAGACTCGAAGACAAACCTGTTCTCAGAAGTTGTCACGTCGGCGAGCATTGAAAGCACGATGGCGCTCAGAACCGCATTTCCACCGCCAATCATGAGCATCGAGGGGCCAAACCAGAGGGCCTCCAAGGGAATCACTCGAGGAAACGCGCAGACCGTGGCAAACCAAGCTTGGTCCAGTGCCATGCCGAAGATGGTCAGGGAGAAGACCATCTTGCGGCCGAGGCGATCAGCAACGATACCCCAGGGGAACGCACAGATGGCGCCGATCGAGGCCTGGAGAGCGCTGTACACGGCAAAAATGTATGCGACCTTGGACTGGATGGCGTCCTCCTTGCAGAGGCTCTCGTCGATGTTCTCGTTGCTCAGGACGTCATAGTAATGGCGGCAGACAATGTCCTCGACCTTACGGGTGGTGGGGATAGTCCACAGCCCGCCGGCGGCAGACCCGAGCAGGATAATGGCGCAGAAGATGCCGACGATGACGTTCGGGTTGTGGACCTTGGGAACGTGGATGGTGTTGGCAGCGCGGATGAGGGAGTCGGCGCGGCCACGACCGGCGCCGGGACGGCGTGGGCTGCCATCGGCGGCGATGAGGGGCGTCGATTCGGTGGGCTCCTCGTCTACGGAGTACCTAGACGGCGCGGCGGGTTCGTGGTCCCCATTGAAGTCGTCGGATTGCTCGGCGCGGCGATGCATCTTGGCTGCGGTGTAACGGTTCCGTGGGCTTGGCTGTGGCGCTCCGATGCTCTCTCAAGAATGGGGTGTAGTACAGAGAACAGATGCGAGTCAGTCCCTTGATCCAAAGGGGGACTCTCAAAAGAAACGAAGGGGAGGGAAGACAGCTCAAGAAATATGAATGAGATGGCATCGCTGGGGCAGGGCAGGCAATGATGATGGTGTGGTGACAAGACGCAGAGTGCAATCTTATCCCTTTCCTGACGTGATGGGACCCCGACGTTCAGACACGCGGTCTGAAACTGAAAATAAGGCACTCCCTGCGGCAACGAAGTGCTTCTCGCTCTGCCGCCGGAGCTACTGCTGCAACCTCGACGTATCTGCGACTCGCGAGCCGTATGCGTTTGCCGCGGAGCCGTGTGTTGCGTACCTGGGCTTGCGCAGTCGTGGCAGCTTTTCCTCAGGTAATTTGCGTGGCACGATAAGAAAGGCACACGACACGATGCAGCAAGGGGCCAAAAGGTCCAATGTCCTGCCCGAAAAAAGCAGGTTGAACGAGCGGACGAGGAGGTAATATTCCTCCGTCTTACTATGATATGGGCTCGCGAGTCGCTATCAGGGCCCTGCTGGGCGGACCTTTGCGCCAAAGTAGGAAAAGACAGCAGACGGGGCAGACGTAAGTGCTCTGTCGTCATTAAATGCATCAAAAACCAAGCGAGAGAGGGAAGAAGGAATCTGGCCCGGCTATCGAAAACGATTTGCGAAAGGAATCCTACGAATGAGAGGCCAAGAGAATGTTCCAAAGAAGGCAATTAAGTGAGCTGTGAGAGGCGGCGGCACACGACAGGTTCGCTGCTGCAAAACAGCAGCCAAAGCTACGCAATGGAGAGGTAATAGGGCTGCATGAATTTTTGGGGGCGCGTCAAAAGTCCCGGCCGGCTGGGCGGCGGTAGCAGCTCGATGACATTTGACACACTGCCTTGTCGCTGCTGCTGTTGCTGTACCTGGAGCTCTTCTCCCTATCTCTCTGTCTCTCACACACACGCAAGTCACAGTTCAGACACGCAGTAGAACGGGCGGGAGAGCTGCCTTCGACGACGAGCTGTTCCCTGAGTCGCCAGCCCGGCAACCTATTAGATGGGGGCGGCAGCGTTCCCAATTTCCAGGTTAGGCATGGTGCGACTTCAGGGATGGACGAGGAAGACAGTAAGACTGATCGCTGAGGAGGAGCAAGAGAGCTCCCCCTCGGGATTGGGGGGAGCTCGGGGCGCCCAATGAGCGTGTTCGGACGCCGGCCGCCTCCCGATTGGGGATGTCAGACTCGGGACCTTGCTGTCTGTGTGTGTTTGTGTGTGTTGTGTGTTCCAGCAGTGTGTTCGGCAGGTATTTGGAGTGAGAGCGAGTACGTATTTCTCGTCACGACACCGAAGCAGAGAGCGAGAGACGGAAACAGAGACAGAGCACTGACGTGGCTCCGCTTGCGTGGCGGCTTCTATCAACAGTCTCCCGCTGCCCAGTCTCATTGATTGCTCACGTCCATCGTCGTTGTCGCCGTCTTACTCTTTCGTCAGGTGGTGATCTAAGAGATACGCCAACGCAGGTCCCAGGTCCCAGGGCAATGGCACTTTTGCACCGAGGCAACCGGATGCCCAAAGCTGTTCCCCTCTTTTCCCACCCCAATCTTCCCAATGACAGACAACAACAAGCATCAGAGTGGCAGAATCGTTGGGTAATGGGTAAGCTTAATCCGCCATTCGCAGCTCTGGATTCTCTCCTGCTGTTTGGCGCCCCTCCTCTGCAAAAGGCAATGGACGCGCGTTGGGATGCGCCGCGGTTGTTGGCGACGACAAGAACCGCGTCTGCCTTTGCATTGCGATCTTCTCTGCGAACTGGGACCAGCACCTGAGTGAAGGTCCGCTGCGAGGAAGAGAGCGAAAAGAGTTCAGGAACTGCGCGTTGGCAATTCGGGGGACTGCCCTGCTACCCATCTGTTGGAACGGGGGGAGATTGGGACCCTTCGCCCCGGTTCCTATCCTTCGTCTTTAGGTGGTTCACGGCGGCCGCGTATCGGGTATCATCCAATATCCTCTGCTCTCTCTCCTCTCAGTCCTCAGTTCTCTCTCGTCCCAGGTTCTTCCTGACGGCCGGAACGATCCGCGGGTGCTGGGCCCCTCGACCAAACGGCGACTGAGGACAAGAGACAAAGCACCAACGGTCCCAAAACACGTGCAAGACACGTCCGAGGCGCAGACGCCCAAACGGCGCCTCCTCAGTGCTCCTCTGCCCTGGCCCCCCTCTCTTCTCGCTTAACTCTGTTCGGAACAGATCAGTCTGGCCCGGCGCTCGGTGCAGGAGATGACCAGTCCACCTCCCGTACGACTCCGCCCAGCAGGCCCCTGGTCCACGATGTGATGCTCGCGGAAGAGAGATATGCTTCCCGCCAGGCACCTCCCGCCCTCGAGTGGGGGATCACGAAAGCAGAAGCCAACTTTTATCCACGGGGTTTGTTCACCGAGAGGGGAAGGACTCAGGGCACGAGGTGTCAATGAACCGTAAACCAAAGTCTATTGGGAGCGGGGGAAACCAGAAAAATGCATTGATTCCCAGCTTTGGAATGGCATTTGGCGCAAAGGGGTCTGGTCTGGCGTGATGGCGCGCTTGAGTTTGCGCGGTCCTCTCCCACGTTGTCGTCCCTCGTCCGACTGCATTACAGTTATGAACGCTGAGTAACTGTCAATGCAAACCAAATCCAAATCCATCCAGTCGCCGTGCATGAGGCAGAAATTTCAGTTGTGGTGCAGGCAGGTGGGTGCAGGTATTCCCGAACTCTCGGGTTTTTCTCATTTCTCCTTCGTCGCTCCTCATATCCCACACACACCCGGTCTGGGCTGGGCTGGCTGCGACGGTTTTCCTCTTATGAATGCTAATGCTACAGTAGATGTTCCCTGCGAGGAGGAGACAGAGACAGAGAGAGAGCCCAAGTTCCAACTGCCCGGACATGGCCACCGTCTTGCCCGCCCGCTCCCAAGGCTGGCATGACATGGACTGCCCCCTCCATCTCTCTCCATCGTCTTTCCCAAAACCGTCTTCCGAGCCATTTCACTCGTCACCGGCATACTCCCCCGATCTCCCGGACCCAATTCCGCCCAAAGTGAGCAGCAGCAACAACCTTCAGTACCCAGGGCCCCGGGCTTCTCCTCCCTCTTCGCGCCGTCTGCTGCTGCTTGCTTCCCTGTCATCTACCAACAGCATAAACATTCGTCCGGGGACTGGGACTCTCGCTACCTTCCAATACGAACACGCAATCCCTGGCCATAATGTAAATGAGGTTTGTTGTTGGTCGTCTTGGGAGGGAGAGCCGTAACCCTCATCCGTTTTGTTCTGATTCTCAGCGAGGAAAATAACGCCCACACCCCCCTCCCCGCGAGCACCTCCCTCCATGAAGAGGTGACGAGTCCAGAATTGCCCGCATCTCGCCCTATCGACCGGTACTCCACGACGAGTGCTACTATGGCGCAGGTTGAACCTGGATACCGTCTTCTCCCCGCTGAACGGGTTTGACGTTGGAGATCATTACTGGCCCTGCGGGGGCCTTCGTCGTGTTGGCGCCCATCACCCCTCGACGAGGTTGACGGAGGACCAGGCCGGAGGAGCAACCAGACCTTGTCGGTTCCCCAGCCAGCTGAGAAAGTCTCATGCTCCTGCTGCTCCTCCTACTACTCTTTCAGAAGTTTGAAGGAGCGATTTCCCAGTCACACTTTGATTTGACCACACGTTCGAACAAATTGGATGTGGCTGGGTTCAGAAGATAGAAGACGTCGACCACACGTTCGACAGATGAGCACATCCGTCAGGCATCTTCGCATTAGCCCCCTCATATCGTTTTGCTCGTCTGTTGGGCCACACATGAGCAGACCCGCACCGCTGGCGAGGATCTGGGCGCTTGATAAACCTGCTGGTGGTGGTCTCGTTCAATATGTCGACGAGGTCCGGTTGGTCACAATCTTACCAACAAGCGAAACCCCCCTGCAGCCTCTTCATGAGTTGGACGCACGCCTGTCCTGTGTGGCCAATCCGCATTTGCTCTATCAGGGAAAGTTGGGAAGTAACCGCCGCGCTGCCGCCTTCTTCCACTTTGATGTGCCTTCTGCAGAGTTGTAGCAGTCCGAGGCCTGGCGCAAGATGAACCAGGTTGCCGTTCCAGTGGATACGTTGAACATTGGGGAGCCTCAATGGAGCCACCACCGCGAGATGTGGCGTTTGACATGACGGTATGCATGCCACCGTGCCATTCAATGTCTACGGGGACCGGTGAACCACGGGCCGGGGTGGCATAATATGGGAGCTCGTCCTGTGTATCCCGCCGGCAGGCACTTGGAGCGGAACGTGGCATACGTATGGCTGGTCTATCCAGCTTGTTCACGGGGTACTCCGTATGAGACATTGTGAAAGCCAGGAGTCACTGCAACTGCAAAGCCAAGACTTGCTGGAAAGCTGGGACTCGCGAATTGCTGCTTGTTTATGGCACGTCAAAACACGTCTGCAGCACGGAAATAAGAGATCGCCTGCTTGATGTGACCTGAGGGACTGTGGTATTGTGGTACTATTACCACGCTTTAGAATCGACTGGCTCTCCGCCCAAGCCCAAGCCCAGCCCAACATCAGACTCCGTAGTTCGATGCTCCACTTCAAGTACGGTCGAGTCTCGAGTTCCTGCTGCTCGGGCGAGGTTCGCAATCTATTCGCCATCCGAGAATATCGCTGATCCCTGACTTCCCTCTCATCCAGGAGGCTCCGCCGCTTTTTGACTTCTTACACTTGTCGTACCAACCAAGATCGACGAGGACTGCGAGACTCGGCCGAGTGACAGCACCACTTTCCTAGATGTCTACCCATGTCTGTAGTTACGTTCGTCTGGTTAGTGCGAACACACGGCCGGGCCTTCTCCCCGATACCCGGAAGAGCGCAGGAGGAAGGCTAATGAGAGACGAAAGGACCTCGCAGTGCGTGTCCACAGCTATCGTCATGTCCCAATGTCGGAAGACAGGTTGGGAAAACAACGTGGTCTACCCCTCACCAGAGAATTACGCCCCTGGGTGTGTCGTGAGGGTTGTTTTTAGCACTGGTACCCAACGCCCGTTGACATGACGAGGATTGTGGTGAATGGGGGCTGTGACGTTGTGTATGTCCCTGCAGCATGAAGCTATTCCCGGCTCCAGCTCCTCTTAGTACCGTTGAACGTCAACGTGAAGCGGTCAGCTGGTCGGGGGGTTTCACCGGATTGAGCGTATGCGAATCCCCTGACAACCTCTCGAGCGGTTTGACGTTCAGTTTGCGGCTTGATCATGGTTGACAGAGACTAGTTTAGCAGCAGCAGTCAGGCTGGCTAAACGAAGTGAGTGGTGGCTACTCCTTTCCCCCATGCAACTCGTGATTGGTGAACCGGAGTTGACGCCGTTGGAGTTGGTTTCATTGGTTGCTTTCAGCATCTGGGTTTCCGTTACAGCTGCGCACGGGAACCGTGTATAACCCCAGGTGAATATGTGGTCAGAGATTCGTGGTAGGGGGGGTTGAAGCAAACTGCATGCGCCTGGGCGCTTAGAAGAGGCAAGTCTTTCGACGTGAGCACCGATTATCGCCAACGTCAGTCCAGTCCATGTGGACAAACCCCCGGCGTCCAGTAGTCCCCTCCAAGAAGCGGTCGAGATTTAGCATGCACGTTACTTCCATCATGGAACATTCCAAATGAATTTCATTCCCAGGCGAGCCCCTTGGACAGCGTATCTTCATCTGGCTTCGACGCAAGAAAGCGGTTCTGGAACAATGTTTGTCGTCTTGACGAGCAACGCCTGCAGAACCCAAGACGGCTGAGATCGGCTGAGAGAGAGTTCTTGGCTCCTTTCATTCGCTCTCGATCTTCGCTCCTGGAAGACGTTGTTGTCATCGCTTGTTGTGCTCAGGGGAGATCGAGCAGGAAGTTGGAACCCAAAGCCAAGGACTCTCTCTCCGTGTCCGCCTCCGTGTCCGTGTCCTCAGTTCGCTATTCGCCAGGCCTCAATACGACATGTGCAGTAGGGAATCTCCTGTCTCCAACGTCAGGTTTGCTACACCAAGGCTGCATGCGAGCAACAGCCGTTGTTGGAACTATGTAAATCCACCAGACGTTTCCTGCTCGCCGGGCGGTCTGCTGATAGCATCAGCATCATACCATCCCTTTTGCCTTCCGACGTTATTCCATGCTATCAGTTTAGACATGACCATGACGGAGTCGTGATGGAGAATTCCAAATCTCGGCGGCACAATTCAACAGCTCATCGGTCCTTCTTTGCGGCTGTCTTCAAAGCAGTGGCACAGCATCTTCACTTTGCCTAAATGAGTAGACATCGCCGACCTAAACCAGTCTGTTGGGTCGCCTCCTGGAATCTTCGAAGGATGACGAGCGCTGAGGTGCCTGCTGCGATGCTGTACTGCCACTCACCGTCTCCCCGAGGGCTCCCATCATATGTGACCGCCATTCAGCTGGCCAGTTTCAGGCCTCAATGCTGACTTCAAACTCCATTCAGGTCTGGCATGATATCTGACGAGTCTTCTGCCGCCCAGAGCACTTCTCCTCAAGCTTCCTCGCCGCATCTGACGAGTCATCCCGCAGTGGCACTGCGGCGGCGTTGGTGTCACCGCCAATCTTCCCCCCCTTTTGGCCCCCTCGCCCCCTTTTCCCGCGCCGCAATGAGCGGCTCGCCTGAAATCATCGACAGCGTGAATGCGTGTCCAGCGTTGATTCTGTGTGACTCGAGTCCTCGGATAGATCAATTTCTGTCCTACCCAGGATCGCATGTATCTATCTGTGTGCGCCCAGAAGAAGCTCCGTCGAAGTCGGCGACCAAGTACGCCACAAGCTGGTGACACCAATCAGACGAGGACGATCGGAGAATTACTAGTCACCATCTTGTGGCTTGATCAGGTAATGCCCGACGCAGTGAAACGATCAACTGAATGAATGATGAGATGGCATGAAATGGAAGGCCATTGTTTGCTGTGCACGTCCTTCTCGACTGACAACTGACACAGTATCCACGTGGCAACGAGCCTGAGGAGACTTCCACTTCAGACGTCTCGCGGACTGATGGGGGCTGAAGTCGCCATGCCCTCCTCGCAAGCCCTACATCTGACAAGGCCACTACGGTCAGTCTGCGCCGGCTGGCTTGGATTGTTCTCTTTCGCCACTGTTCTCTCCTCTCCGGTGCCCCCTTGCCCCCCTCACACTGCTGGCGTACAACTTAGTGCATCTCGGTTCACAAGGGAATTAGAGGCGGAGACCAGATCGAGCCGCGTTGGCCCCGAACACCGAACATGCCTGCAAGCCCGCACACCATGGCGGGGACCCTGGTCAGCCGGTGTGCCAGCTTGCTAGCTTGCCAGTGTGCCAGTGTGTGTCAACGTGCCAGGTATTTACGTCTTTACGTCCCGGGGCCCGGGTTGGACAGGACCGTCCGGCACCCTGGAGCAACGGAACGATTCTCATGGTAGTCTTTTCAAGCAAAGAGACGTGATCACAAGAGACGCAACGAATTGGACCTCGTAACTCGTACAGTGCCCAATTAAAGGATAAGTTACCGCGCTTATCCCGGCAACTGCGCCAACGTCTTTGCGCCACCAACCGCAAGTACTGCGTATTCTCCATATCAACCTGATGCAGGACGCGCCCGTTGGGTGACAGAAGGGGAAGCAAACATGGACTGCAGGGCGGCCGACCGCAGGGGACTGATCATGCTATTAGGATGTAGGCCAGGCCAGGTCGTGGATGTCACGTACCCGCCAAGTGCTGTACCAGCAGGGGTATTTTGGAAAAGAGGAGGGGGTGGGCAGCAAGAGGAGGAGCAGGAGGGTGAACATTACCGTCCTCTGGCTTCCCCAGATTGGATTCCCAGCTGCTCGGGGGCCGGTGCGCAGAGATGAAAAGAGAAAATCTCAAGCTCCAACAACGCAGACGGAACTGATCGCTCCACGGACGGACCGCAGCGAGCCATCGGGGCCGGTCTCCTCCTCCGACGCCCGTGGGCTTGGTAGTTGGTACCCATTCAGAACCGAGCTAGAGACCGGGAATAACAGGCGGGGGTTCCGGCGCTCTCCATTTCGTGTCCATGATCGAGGGCGTCTCCAGTCCCGGATGCAAGCCTACGTCTTCCGAGCGTCGAGCGGCCCACAAGATTGAGGGCAGCGCTCAGATCAATCCCTGATATTGTCATTGTTGGCACTAAGGACCGTTGATGAATTTGCTTACACCCCTGCCCGGTGATGTTTCTCAGACCTCACAACCCCGGTCCGGTGGTCATCGAAACTCCAACAAGATTGACAAGGGTAGGGGAGAGCCAATCATGGACCCGGCCAGCCTCGACAGGACCGCACCAACAGAGGTTGAGCACCTTGAACGAGCCTTGAAATGTGTGAGATGGTGGTATTGGACCCGACGGGACGGGTCGACATGCACACTAAATTACTATCACACATTTTGTCACATTGGACATACTACGTAATTTCCCTTTTCCCGTTCACCAGTACGGCGTATGCGACCTGCAGTTTGCTTTCTGACTAGCAGGCTGGGCGCACTCCGGCGATTCGAGCGCCTGAGCAATTTTTTGATAGCCCTTGTGGATCTGCTCACTCTTCTTCGTGTGTGCCTCCTTCGTGGATTCATTGCGACCTCGCAGTCTACGAATGGGAGAGACAAGCTGTGACCGGGGATCAGGAGGGTGACTTCAGACGCAAGGTTGATGGATCCTTGCCAACGGTGCTGCAGATGACATACAAAGACCAATGCACATCTGGCCATCTTGCGTAGTTTAAAGGCTAGCAGCATACATAATCCATTTGTCCATCGCGTGGAGAACGATACTAGGATACACTGTTCTGCCCAGAAGACAGAGGCAAGGGTTGTTGGCTCCCGTACGCACAGGCTGTGTCGTGTTCATGGTCGTCCACATTATCCAATCATGCAAGTTTTCTCATTTCTCTCTGTCCATGAGACCAGAGACACTTTCGAGGTTGTGCCCGAACGACTTTCTTGAAAAAGTGACAGCTCCGTCCTCAAATATCAGACCGATGGAGGAGGACGGATAGATGAGGTCCATCGGTCCGAGAAGTCGGAATATGAGGCGGCGACGGTGTTACGTTGTGCAACTTCTGGGACACGACTTGCAGACCAACTTCATTGTGAACCTGGAACCCGGGATGTTTTACCGGATATCTGGACTTTGCAGGAAGACCAGAGTCTGTGTCGACCTGGAGGGTATCCATCGCCCCTCCTGTCTCCCCTTCCACCCTCCCCTCCAGGACTGGCGGCTCCTACCACCGGGGTCTAGATATTGATCGATCGTTTCTTTTCCCTGTACCATGTTCGCCAAGATGCCCCCACTTGCAGCCTTTTTTTGGACAGTCGCCGACGACAGGGACTAGCGGGCAGACGCCCTCGAGTTGTCGAGACTCCAGGAGAGTTCAAGAACCTGGTCACCCGTTGGCCCACATCGACCGGCGTTGCGTGTAGCGAGAGAAAGAGAGACAAATGCTGGTGGACATACACCGCCAACAACAGCGTTGCATCGGACCGCAACTGGTAGGGCGTGCTTTGCGCCAGTCTGCAGTCTCTGCTGGCGCCGTTGGTCCTCCCGAAGATCCATGCCGGTGTGGTCCTAGCCGACGGTGATGCATCAGCACCTTACGAAACCCATGAATGCTTGCATGGTGGTATCTCGGACTTGAGCTGTAGGGCTTTGTGGGCTTGCGATACCGTCGCTACAATGGATGGACGGTTCTAAAGTGGAAAGCTCGTCGTGGTCGGATACGGTATCCGTTCGATGTTGGCGTCTTTTCCCTTGACAGTTTTCTTCTACCTTACCCCACCCCTTGTCACGTTATCGTTGTTGATATGCGGGTAGACATCCATCGCTTGTCAGGGTGCATGTCGCCTTCCTTTTACCTTGAGCTTGATTTCTCTTTTCTCCCGGTCTGTGGTAGCGCTCCTGTCTCAAAGCCCGCGCTCTTTTGTCCAACATCCATGGTATCTGGGCTCTGCTAGCATATAAGAGCCAGTGCGGAGAACTCACCTCGTCCCTACCCTCTTTTCTTCTTCATCAGCCTCCTCATACGATACGAACACACTGTACCTCTCTCCACCTCATCCTTTGCAAGTTTGTCTCTCCGTCTTCGCTCTTGTCGCTGTCGTCTGACTCCATCCAGGGACATCCGCACAGAAGCGTTCAACCTCACTAGACGTCGGAGAGCCTCTCAAGATGGCCATCAGCGTCCAGGAAAGACGCGCTTCCCAGCAAGCAGCTGAGCGAACGACCCAACAACCTTCTCGAGGCTGCCAGCAACCAAAGCGAGCCCCGAACCTATACGACATGGAGACCTTTGGTGGCGAACAGAATCAGTACTCGTCTCCAGCGGAAACCTGGGAACCCAATCCTCAAAGTCCCGCATTGGCCTTTCGCCGATCCGGACATTCTCGTCACCCTTCAGTTGACGCCAGCCGCTTATTCACTCCGATAAAGCGACGTCTTCCACACTCAACCAAAACGGAAAACTCTGAATCATCCACAGCACCGATGACCAAGAAGGCCCGCACACCAAGCCAAGAACCCGAAGGCTCAGAATACAGAACACGACTTCTCTCTGTCGATACTCTTCTTCAACAGCCTACCGCGCTATCTCCTCCTCACCACCGATACGTCCAGCAGCCCACGCCTCAGCCTGTCCAACATCAAGTGCACTGTTTTGTTCCTTCACCATCCAACTCACCGATTCCGTCTTCACTCGTCGCGCCTCGAGCTTTTCCACCGCCTTACCAACAATCGTCCATGTACCCCCCCATGCAGAGCCATAGATGTTCTGTGTCTCCTCAGTCCAGGCTCATTAGCTGTGATGAGGGTTCGTCGCCTATCATGCCCCTCGGTTCGGTCAATACAAACGGCAATCCCCAGTCCGGACAACACGCCAACACCGGTTCCAATTCGCTATACGGGCAAAAATCCAACAGACGGGCCAACAGGGGCTCAGTAGCAAGCTACGCAAGCAACCGCGGCGCAGTATCGTTGGATCGCCAACCGGAGGAGAGGCTGAGCCAAGAGGCTTCGATCGACGTCCTCTCACTAAGGCTGCAGAGTATGACTCCTGAATCGAGAGAGGAAGAGTTTGGTCAATTGGACGCGGTGACACTGAAGAAACTCTTTGACTCAAGCGATTGGTACAAAGACAAGATCCAAAAATCCGCAAACGCAAAAGGGACACTGTTGGCGGCCATCGGAGAGCGCGACCGAAGTGAGCCTAGCGGAAGTGGTCGCGCCTGTTACTACTGCTACGAGAAGTACGGAGATGACAGATTCGGCAAGGACCAGCCCGCCTACGCCATCCTGAAAGCCAACGGAAATTACAGACCGTTCAACAAGAAGCGCAAATACCCCGAATCAGTAAACATTGAACCCTTGCGGCAGTTCTGTGTGGATTGCGGCGTCCGTCTCCACTTTTACCGGCGCTACCGGCGCTTCGATTCAGAGACCGGCGCGGTTTGGTGGGCCTGCCGCTGCCGAGTGCTACGCCCCGTTGTGGACGATGAGAATGAACCTTGCCCGGATTGCAACTGTATTTGCCCTCTCAGGAACCCTGACGAAGAGGATGATACCTTTGAGTCGGACGAGTCGGATAGGTCGGACCCTTGATTGATGGATGGCAAGCTTGTCCAGAGTCGCAGTCGGCTTGCGACGGCGATGCGTGAGAGGGTGGAGACGGCCTAGGAGCACTACGCTCCTGTCTACTGTATCATCAGCTTTTCTTTGTGTCTTGGATTCGGTTGGTTTTGGCGAAGTTTGTTCTGGCGCGGTCGTCGAAATCTGGAGAGTGTATCTGATATCCACGGAGGACAACAGCACTCCGGCAGATTTACACGGAAAACTTGGATTGGTGGGAGGCAAGCTGTCAGAGGACGGTGAGTTATTTTGAAATTGGACCGGAACGCTTGTTTGCTTTGTGTATGTGAATAGATTTAATGCATGGTTTTGGATTGCCCAAGTGTCTTTTCTATGACTGTGTCCAAAAGATTATTCTATAAACGCCGAACCCATTCAAATGTCTATGTTTTAATATCGCTTCGGCCTGGTCAACAGGTATCGAGGCCGGCTCAGTTGTAGCCTGACCTCCCCTTGGTCGACACGCCGTGGTCCCGAGTGCGGTTGTAGCCGCTGCGGCCTTGGGGAACCTCTCGTCGTCGTTCGCTTTCTGCCATCTTGACGTACTGAGAGCCTTCGCGAGGTCTTCCGCTGGCGTCTCTTTGCCTAGGGCTTGACCTTGAAGTCTGGCGACTTGAGCCGCGGGAACTCTGGTAGTCCATGGCTAGCTGGTAACGATGCGGGTGACTGGAAAGAGGTGTTAGCAGGGTCTTCTCATAATCGGTCTCCAGGAGTAATCACTTTGTGAAATTTAGAGCAATGTGCTAGACTGACTGGTGAACACTAGTTGACTTGGTTTGAAAGCTGGGTTCAATAGGTTTATTGATGAAAACACGTGCAACTTGACAAGAGCGATAACGAGGTAAATGTCATTCTCGACAGTACTTTATATAGAAAGAAAAGACCTGTATGAATGATGGAAGCCTTTGGTCGTCGCAACTATTGGTGGCGATGCGGCAGGGACTTCCATGGCTTGTATATTCCTCCGAGAACTGCGCCTTGAGCAAAGTTCACAAGGCGAGAGTATACCTGCGACTCTTGGAGCAGCGCGCCCTTGCAGAGAACAGCGCAAGGCCGAAGGAAGGAAGTTGATAGGTGCAGATAACTCCATGCTGCATGGAAACAGCCCACTTGGCATGTGCCTTTGGCTTGATGATTACTCGGCCGAGGGGCGCAAGCTCCGTCTGGCCTGGGATTCCGTAGCACGGGTCCAGGCGAGACTGGTCTTCGACGCATCGCAGCGTTCGATGTTCGGACATGGAATGCCAGTAAGAAGATGACCAGAAATTGCCCGACCTAGGAAGCCTGTGATTCTTCCAGAAACCGGACGGAAGGGGACGCGGTCTCGTGCAGCGAAAAGGGCTAAACCGGCCGGTGGGCAGAAAGCCAAGGTTGCTGCAAGGAGCTTGCCATGACACCCGGAACCCTTCCTAGAGGCGCGAAGGTGACGGAGAGTTTGGACGTTTCCCACTCAGAAGGGCGAGGTTTGAGATCTTCGACATGCGAACCATGTACACGGACGGGCCACGGCAGACTGTGCCGAAAAAGCTTGTGGCTCACCCTGTCCTGGGCGCGGACAACGTCCGTCGATGGAAATCCTACCGGTCTTCTCCCGTCCGTGAGCAAAGTATCAGTGCCGGCAACTTTCCCAGGAAGTCAGAATATCGAAGCAAAGGCCGCGAAGAAGCGTCTCAGGTCCGGGAAAAAGCTATGGTATGGAAGATGCGCGCCGCGAGGAGAGTCTGAAAAGTGGGCAGTGGTCAATTCGCAGACGAGGCGTCGAAGGATTCTTACTGGTCGCGTGGCAGTGACAGAGCTTCTTTTCCTGGCGTGGCTAATTCCCCTGGCTTGGCTTGCACCCGGCGAATCCTGTCATGGATGATCCCAGAGAGAGACCTCTCTCAAGAACAGCCCTACCGGGAAGGCTTAAGCTGACAGCTCGAGTTCAATCAATCAAGAACTCCATCTCTGCGAGCTTTTCCCACGACAAGCTTTACCAACTCTCCAATGCGCGTCATTCGTGTACCGAAGCGCAGACCGCATCGAAGTCTGGGGAGGGTGTCCACAGTTTTATATTGGAACTGTTTTTCTCGGGACAGTAACCGGCATGATAGTTTTTATTTCTCGCGATGAGGAACAGTGACTCATCAACCCAAGACCAACCGTTGCTGCCAAACATGAGCGCTGCCGAAAACAACCAAACACATCCGCGGGCGGCTAAGTTCGCTTGATGGTGCTAGTTCTCACGGATGCGGTCTGGCAACCTCTTCTGACGTCAAGCCCCCGTCGGAAACGTTCTTTGCTTCCACAGGCTTAGCGGGAAAACCGGCCATCTCGCTCGGACTCAGATACAAGACTTCACAGGACGGCCCGTCGCTGCGTTTTGTTTGAAACGGAACCGGCACCCGATTCGAAGATGCAGGAAATCTGAAGCGGCATCCGAGCTTTCTCCCCATCGAGTCCCGAGACTAGCGACCTGTTCGGCCCGCTACATGTGATGGCGCATCGATGTGTCTAGATAGGCTAACTCTCTTTCATAAAGTCCAGATCTGCCATCGTCCCGGAAGATGAGCAGGTTCGCATCCACTGTAAGTCAAGTAAGTGGGACAAAAAATTGATATACAGAAGTGGTTTCCCCTCCGTACCTACGTCCTGTGCGTGCAAAGCGTGGTGGGAATAAGACTAAAAGGAAGTCGGATTCCACGGATAAGAAGCAACGGTAAAAGAAAATTGAGTTTTTACATAATCACTCGCTTCTTCTTTTCTTGTGAAGAAAACAAGAAAGGGATACAGGTAAAAGTCAAAATATCCCTGTAATGGATACCTCATTCATCCCTCCTGAGACCCCGACAGTATGCTTAGCGCGCTATTCTCAGAAGAAGACGAAGGGAGGATTTGCCTCTTTTCTGGACAATATCATTGGGCGTGGAAAACGGCGCTGATGCACACATTCCTGGCATCGCGAATGGAACCGAAACACTGTTTCGCGAAATGGTCTGGATCGCGAACACGTCGAGGATGGACGTGGCTGTGGAAAGAAAATCCCTGCGGATGGCCATACCTATATGTTCCTTGAGACATGGGCTTTCCCCCCAAACCGTCAGCCTGGGGCATTGGACGGTAGGGAGATGCCCTCAGTGTCCACCTAGTACAATATAGCACTACCTGTGAGTAAAGTAATGAGGGAATCTCGAGAGAGCTCCAAAAGTTGAAGAGACCGAAAACGTTAAGCATCTACCCTCTCAAGCGAATAAGACGGCTGCCTCCAAGCCTCCACATCACCGTTCATACAACTAAGCAGAGCCCCGCAACGTCGTTGAACGCCGTTTTCATACACTTAGCAGTGCCGACCAATCTCAGAAGTGACCGAAAATGGGGTTGTTTAGTTGCCGCCAATTACAGTCGGTAGCGAATGCCCTTGAATTCCGTAGGACGAAGCTAGCTTTGCTTCAGGTATTTTGGAACGGATGCCGGGCGCAGATGAGACCGGAAGCATACGCGAATGGAGAATCGTCACGCAGTAGAACACGATCAGCAGCTGTACGTGAAATATTAAACGAGCAGGACGCTCGCCGTTCGTTGCTCACCTTCTGTCCCCACTGTCCAAGACTTTATTCTTCACACAACTCGATAGTCCAGCAGAGAGCATCGGCTTAGCATCACCATCACGATGCAGACTCCGATTTCCAACGTGTCCGCCAACAGGAGGTACCTGTCCATCTTTTTCGCTGGTGCTACCATCCTCCTCCTCCTTGCCACAGTTCACGTCTCCCGTGAGGGTGTCCCGGAGTCTATCAAGCAAACGACAGGATGGAATAAGTGCGTCCACTCGCCCCAAAGCCTCTCATCATATACAAATGAAAGTCCTATGAGGCTGACATCTCAATCGCAGTGCCGGCAGCAATGGCCACACTTACAAGCCAGGACATGTGACTACCTACGGCGGCAAGCACGATAACCGGCCGACATTCGCCGACCTGGCCAAGGACTCCGGTACGGACAAGGTAACGGACCACAACTACGCCGTCCTATACGACAAGTACCTCCCGGCCTTCCGTGACAGCCACGTCAAGATGCTCGAGATCGGTCTCGGCTGCGGCATGGTAAGTCTGGGCCCCTGTATCTCCTCCCCGTCCGCTATCTCACGCCGTCGCAGGCCTACGGTCCCGGCGCCTCGTTCTCGACTTGGATCCAGTACTTCCCCCAGTTGGAAATCAACATCATTGAGTACAACGAGGCTTGTGGCAAGGCATGGGCTGCCGAGCACCCTCAGGCGTCCGTCCACTTCGGCGATCAGGCCAACCCGTCGTTCCTCCACGCAGCGGGTGCCGCTGCCACCGCCGATGGTCTCCTAGACATCCTCATCGACGACGGCGGCCACAGCATGAGGCAGCAGGAAGTCAGTCTCCACGAGCTGTGGCAGTACGTCCGCCCCGGCGGTATCTACATCATCGAGGACCTGCACACCAGCTACTTGAGCTCGTGGCAGGGCGACCCATCCAGGACCGACGCTACGAAGCGCACCTTCATGCGTTTCCTGTACGAGATCTTGGACGATATAATGAGCCTGCCGGCATACGAGGCTCATGTTGAACCGGTCGGTGCCACCAAATACCCCTTCACGCATGAGATTGCGAGCATCGACTGTATGGAGGCGATGTGCGTGTTGGTCAAGAAGGAGATTGGAGCGCGATGAGTAGTTTTGTTCGAAGGAATACCACGAGGAGTAGCGGGTGGGATGGGACAGGAGTCCGGTTGTTTTCTCCCTTGTCTGTCAGGATACTGGCCTACATGGATGAATGTACTTGTCGAGTCACAGCCAACAATGCTTAAATATTATTTATAATTGCATCATCCACAGTGGCGTCCAGCCAGCGCGAGAAGACCATTGAGCATGTGGTGGCTGCTATCGCCAGCGATTGACTGGTGTGCGGGGGCTTCGTCTTCAGCTGAGCGAGTACAACAAAGCATGGCGTCGGGGATAGTTTAGCCTAGGGAGGTGGCGCTTGCACTGGCAGTCAAGCAAAGAAGCTCGTGGGGTTTCGGAGATGTGCAGGAATGCAAAGCCCGCGTTGGATTCCCCTTCAATCATCAGGTAAATGTTTGAAGTGAGGACGAACCCTGGTGCACCCTTGTGTTGGCTTGGGCATGCCCGGTCTCATCATCCCTGGCCTCCGCCTCCCGCCGAGAAGCCTCTTTCTTCAGCTTCTCCGGTCCAATATGTCCCTTGAATGTGTAGGTGGGAAGGAGGAAGGAAGTCGTCCCTCTTTCCTGCGATTAAATATACTTCCCTTTTTGAGCAGGTACTAATTCGAGCCTTCCGTGTCCACGGTGGGAAGCCACGCTTACAAACATTTTAAGGGCTGCAGTGCACATTCGGCGACGCCCCTCCCTCATTCTACTTAATCTACCTGAGCTACCAGCTCTTCCATCATCTTCTCTTCATCCTCCGCTTTCTACGAAAGCAGCCCGCCTTTCTCTTGGATCCACAATCGGAGCATAATCACATCTTGACTCTCGGTTCAGCAACTGAACCTCCACCATGAGTTTGCCCGCCAACAACCGCCGCATCGTCCAGATGCTCTGGCTGGCTGCTGGATTGCTCTTGGTGCTCGCCTTCTTGTCTGCCACGGGCGGCTCCGCACCGCAGGCCAAGGAGTGGGCGGCAAACAAGGTCGGCTCCATCACCCAGCTCAGATCCGGCCGTCCCTCCCTGCGTGAGGCCATGGAGAAATCCGAGGCCCTATGGAAGAAGACGGTCCGACAGCGTCACGAGATGATCGCTGCCGACTACGGTGATGCTTCCAAGATGCCCATGTATGAATCCCCTCCCCGTTATCCCACGTCGGCAGATCAGGAAACCCACGGCTGACCATATGTCTTTACATGCATCAGGTTCCCTGCCATTAACGCGGAAATTTACAAGAAGAGCCCGTACTCGATCTGGGATTTCACTCCGGCTTCATGGAGCTGCCCTCATGAGATGGAGCGTGTTGGCCGCATGGGAGACGGCGGCAAGTGGGTATGCGGAATGTCGCATTACGTCAACTTCCCCAAGAACAAGCAGTGTGTCGTTTACTCGTTTGGTGTTCGTGACGAGTCTAGCTTCGGTAAGTTTCCCGCCATAGCACTAAGTATTGGCGATGGTGTTTCCTGACAAAGCTCGCCATTCAGAGAACGAAATGCTGAGCCGCACGCCTTGCTACGTCTGGGCATACGACTTCTCCGTTGTCGACTTTGGGGAACAGCTCGAGGCTTCCAACCGTGCTCGTGCCCAGTTCCTTCAGGCCGGTATTGCCGGAAAGACGGACCTGAACGCGAGCCCTCCTTTCTACAGCATTAGCGACTTGATGGAAATGAACGGTCATCAGTACATGTACGCATTGCTGCCCACTCCTGACCTCCATGCTGAGCTTAGACACTGACATGGCGACATCACAGTGACATTCTCAAGATGGACATTGAGGAGGCCGAGTTCGAGGCCATAGACGGTCTCATGGCCGACTTTGCCAGCGGAGAGTTTCCCATCGGCCAGCTCATGGTCGAGATCCACTTCTTCACAGTGAGGAACTCCAAGACGTACCTCGACTGGTGGGAGCGTATGGAAGCGCGTGGCCTGCGTCCTACTTGGACCGAGCCGAACCTGCTCGCCGTCACTCTGGGTTTCGAGCACCCCCAGCTGGCCGAGTACACGTTGGTCAACGTCAAGGACCGCAACAATGTCCTTTTCCACGGCAGGTAAAAGCCACTGAGCGTACGGTGTTTGGCATGGTGATATTGCATTGTTTAAGGGCGTTGTCGGTACATGCGAATGGCAAATAACATGTGTGGACATGGATGCCCTATTAATTCAGTCAATGTGTGAATTAAGGACTTGTTTCTCCCAACGTTCGTTTATGACTGACAGTCACGGACCATGACGATAGTCTGCCGCACAGCCCAAGACGTCGCGGCCCGTAGTCGGCGGTGGTCGGCGATATCACGGCCCATAACCTGGAGTTGTCATTCGATGATCCTTGAAAGAGACGGAGCTGAGATGGAACTAAAGGCAGATGAAAATTCAATCATTCGGTCAAACCTCGGCCACCTTCCATCTTCGAACCATTATTCTGCAAATGGTGTCGAGAAGTCTAAATACTCCAATTCCAGGGATCGTTCGTGGGCAAACGGCGAAAACGAAAAAAAAAGGTTTTCTTTCTGCTACGAAAGCGCTGCATGTCAGCTTGTCAGTCCCGTGCGCTAAACCTCTTCTTCTCCAACCCTCTCCCCCGCCTTCCTGGTTTGTCCCTGAATAGCTCGATCCCTCATTTGCCGTGGTCAAGAGTCTGGCCTATCGCTGCCTTGATTTCCCCTGGCCGTAATGCGGTCAGCCAGTCCGAGGAGGGTCGCGTCCGTCCCCGATGTCTGCGCGCGGCGACAAAGCTTATTTGGACCCTGCTCCGTCCAAGTTTTGACTCCGCAGGTGTAGACCGGATGGCGTCCGAGTGTCATGACGGGCGTAGGCGGAGTTTTTCGATGGTGGCAGAACCGTTCACGTACTCATGGGATGATTTGTGTGCAAAGTGGTGGTAAGTATGTCATTACGGTAAATATTTTTGTGATGATTTTACATGATTAAACGTGCAGGGGCTCTGTTTTCATTGCACCACACACTTGCTGGGCAGTCCACACGGTCCAGACTTGACGTCCTTGTCGTCAAGTTCCTTCGGCGCCCGGCTCTCCGTCGCGGGCGGGTCCTTCTTGACCGGGGCCGGCTTGTCCGCTCCGTTGGTACCGTTGGTCGTGCCGTTCTCCACCTTGGCACCGTCCTTGCTGCCATGCAGTCAACCCACGTGCTTGGCAACGGTCTCGTAGAAGGACTGGCCCTGGATGCGGGCGATCTCGAGCTCCTTCTCGGAGGGCTGGCGAGAGCCGTCGGCGCCGGCGAAGGTGCCGGCACCCCAGGGACCACCGCCGTGAATCTCGCTGAGGTCAGCCATCAGGGGGAAGGCCTTGGCGTAGCCGAAGGGGACGTAGATAATGCCGTGGTGGGCGAGGGTGGACATGGCGGCGATGGCAGTGGACTCCTGGCCGCCGCCGAGGGAGGCGGTAGAAATGAAGAGGCCGGCAAGCTTGCCCCAGTAGCCACCGGAGCTCCATTGCTTGCCGGTCTTGTCCCAGAAGGTCTTCCACTGGGCGGGGAAGGTGCCGTATCTGGTTGGAATGCCGAGGAGGAAGGCGTCGTAGGCCTCGAGGGTGGAGGGGTCCTCGAGGACGGGGATGTCGCTGGGCTTGGGGGGAGCGCCCATCTTGGTGAGGACCTCCTCAGGGAGGGTCTCAGCGATCCTGTTGATTGTACAGTGGTTAGCCGGTTTGCAAGCGACTCGCGGCGGGGAAGGGGTTTGTAGTAAAGCAGGACGTACTGGAAGAGGTCGGCGGTGCCGCCGGCCTTCTCGATACCGGCCTTCTCGGCCTCGGCCAGGGTACGGATGTGGCCGTACATGGAGTACTGTTGTGAGGGCGCACGGGATTAGCATGGCGGTCTTAAGGGCAGGGTTGGAGTTGAGTTGGCGATCGCGGCGGGGTTCAGGGCGCCGAGGTGCGGGCAACGCGTATCGAGGCGTCATGATTGTGCGCGGGAGTCGTCATGTCGTCTGCAGAATGAGGCCTTCTGTTGCAGCCAGAGGCAACGATGGGCATCTACTGCACACAAGGCTTGCGGTAGACATGGAAAGGGAGACAGAGGTTGCCAAGCCACCGTTGAGATTGAGTGAGGTGGCAAGGTGGTGAGTGAGGTAGCGGGTGGGGGGAGGGGCAGAGAACGGGACAGAAGAAATTGCCCGATTAGGAAAGAAGAGCTACTGGCTGGGGGGTGGATACTCACGTAGACGATAGCGATCTTGGGAGCCATTGTGGCAGATGTGTGTCTCTGTAGGACGGATGGATAGAAAAGGAAGGGTATCGATTGCAGTGAAGAGAGGAAATCAGTGCTCAACACAGAGGAACTGGAGAGGGAATGGAGTAAAAGGTGTCGTCTGTTGGGAAGGAGCACATCTTCTTATATCAATCTACCTCACCCAGAGTACCCGGGCAAGACAAGGTACGGATACGTTACCACGCAAGGCCGGCAGCTTGGCCAGGCGCGGAAACGGCCAGAGAGGGGCTGGAGGGGTTTGGATAAGGTACCTTACGGCGGTGTTGCATCATCAAAGGCACGCTAGACTCGGGCAGGCCAACCAGACGGGCGTCAAGGTAGGTAAGGTAGGTACTTTCCATAGGTTGGGATCTGAGGTGGACGATGAGGTGCGGTTTCATCCAGCTTCAACGGCCAAGAGCTCCATGCTGCTCAGCTAAGGTGCTGTAAGCAGGCGCGCGACAATTGACAAACCGCACCTCAAGGTGCGGGTGGAGGGGAGGGAAGGAAAGCAGCTGCCCTGCCCCTGCCCTGCCCGGCATGGGGAGCTACACCCCTCCAAGCTGGTCCATGCTCCGCTGCGGGGCTGGCTTGTTATTGTGACATGAGCACCTGAGGTAGGCACCTGAGGTAGGTAGGTACACTCCTTGGGTTCGTGATCTCAGTGTACCTATTCTACTCTGTACCTAGGCAGGCAAGTACTTACCCGCCATACTGTTTCTGTGCAATGAAAGTCTCACTCAATACTCATCACAGGAAACAGACACGATGCGAATCGGAGCCGCGGGCGAGGATGGGTTGCGATAGGCACGTCAGGTCGCGATGCAACATCCAATTCAGCCATGATGCAAGCTACCCGGAGAACACCACCATCTTGCCCATCGAACCCATGTCAGAAACCACCCGTGCCGACCTTGTTCCAGTAGCTGCCCTGCAACAGATCGCAGTGATCCGTGGTCCAGCAGCGGGGGGGCTGGATTTCTGAAAGAGACGAGGGTGCTGAATAAGTGCTTAACAACGCCATCAGCTATCATAAGCCTTACGAATACACAGGCAATCCCTTTCCTCGACCACCCTGTCGGCCGTGGGGTAAGGGCGGCACTTCCATTGTCACTTTAGTCTCACCAACCTGGCAGCCCGGTGGGGGGAGGAGGCTCTTCTTTTGTGCACGACTGTCTCTGGAGGAGCGCAAATACTTTCGGATCGCGGGTGTATCACGGATTGCCCTCTTGCCGTTCCCTCAAATTGTCATGACGAACCGCGAGACGAACCTAACATCAGGAGCGTTCCTCATTTAGAGTTGAGGCCCTCGGAGGTCAAAGCTCAGCCAGACGGCGGGATGGGATCAGGTACCAAAGCCTGTTTTCCCTCCCATTATTGCCAAGTGCCGGAGCCGAAGGCATCTTTTGCGAGTGAGGTCCGGAGTTGGCGGTGACGATCGATGGTAGGACGAAGAGATTAGTCTTGACTGACAAATGGCAGCCCATCTCCTTCTACGGAGCTCAGAACACGGCGAGCCAATGAAAGAACGCCGGGGATTCCAGTGTCTACCTCAGGACGTGGACTGCACGGAGCATCTTTTCTTCATGACTTACACGTGGGACTCCTGTTCCCTCTGGCCGATCCTGGACGGTTGCGCTCATCGAAATTGTCGTCTGATACCCATGGATTGAATAGGTCCATCAGATCACAAAGCAGATGGTCGCAGATTTCGTCAACCGCCGTCAGCATTCAGTGGAGACACCGCCTGGACCCGACGACGGAGCACGCTGCGGCACCCCATACATTGTCGCTGTCGCTGTCATCCCTCGCGCGCGGGTCTGAGTTAAGCGGTTGAAGCTGCACCAGCGCCATGATCCAAGTATGAATCAGCAACACACAGCGCTGGACCCTCACCTGCCGCCGTGATAGGCCGCCCTCGCCGCCGCTGGTACGGATCCGCGCATCGTAACCTGCAGTTAGCTCCGTAGGTACACGCTCACGAATCGCTGGGTAATGGTAATACTTTGGTCTTCATTTTCAACATCTGGCTTACAACACCTAGGCCCTGTCCGCTATCGAGATCTCTCTCGACCTATCTTTCGAGGGCTAGGTCCCGATAGAAAGACTTGGCTTCGCTGACGGGGGTCACGGAGCAGCCAATGCCCATATCGAGCCTTATCCGCACCACGAAAACGAAACGCATCCAACATCCGATGCATCGACGGACCCTCACCGCCAACCTCGCCGTACTATTATTGTGCAGCTCTCAGGCTCAGTGACACAGATCCTCGGTATGGTGCGAAAACGAGTTCCACTCCCATTTGCCAAAATTGGCAAGCGCCCGCCGACCTTGATGGGGTACGCAACGCTGGATTTCTCGGTGAGTCAGGTCGGTGAACGGAGGTGTGCGCTCTCACCTGGGACTCTCTCTGCCCGTATCCGGCAACGGCCTCGTCCATTTCAGACTGTCAACTGCTTCACTACGCCAAACACTCTGCCATGGGCATATGTGATTGATATTCTTACCACGTCGAGTGAGAGGGGTGACAAGTGATTTTTAATTCCCCAAAACGGAAGGGGTCATTAGGTGCATCCTCGGCTACCTTAGTGGACGGTGTCAGCATTGGCATCAAAATAGGAAACTCGTAAGTATCAATCATTCATCTAATCTGATTACAGTGGCTCCATCTTTTGCGTTCTTTCTCGAGTGCAAAATCTTCAAACAAGCATCTCAAGTCTCACAATGGGCCAAGAAGCCTCCAAGCCGAAGCCCGGAACCAAGCTCCAGGTCATCGGAGCCGGCCTCCCCCGAACCGGCACGGCCTCTTTCAGCAAAGCCCTCGAAATCCTCCTAAACGGACCCGTCCACCACGGCGGTACCCAAGTCACCAGAGGCCCGGAATCCGAGATCCGCTCCTGGATCGCCGCCCTCGAGCACACCCCGATCAAATCAGCCGAGGACGACAAGGTCGTCCGGGAGACGCTGAGAAACCACCTGGCCGACGGCTTCGCCGCCGTGCTCGACGTGCCTGGCATGCTCTTCATCGAGGAGCTGCTGGAGATGCACCCTGGCGTCAAGGTCATCTGCACCGTCCGCGAACCGGACGCGTGGGTCCGCAGCATCCAAAAGACGGGCAACGCGTCTCTGCAGGCCTTTCTGTCTTTTGCACTGTTTCTCGTCCCGACCATGCGCTGGTTCCCGCGGTACATTGATGCGATCCCCAAGGGTCGCTGGGGTGAGCTGTTTCCCCACGAAGCTCCTGTGCCGGACCGCGCCGTGTGGGATACCCACCAGGCGTGGCTGAGAAGGGTGGTGCCCGCGGATCAGCTGGTGTTCTACCATGTTAAGGACGGGTGGGAGCCTTTGTGCAAGGCTCTCGGGAAGCCGATCCCGGATGTGCCGTTTCCGAACATCAACGACGGGGACGCGATGGATGCTTTTGCGAAAGAGCAGATCATGCGCGGGCTGGCTCGATGGGCGGTTGTGTTTGGCGGCGTCGCGGCAGTGGCTTGCGGTTGGTGGTGGATGCGGTGACTCTACAAGTGCGTCTTGATAGCCGCGATCAACGTGGAACAGAGCCCTCTTAATATACACGATTGCAATACATTACTGGCCACTAACTCAAGCCTTCAGAGACCGCTCTTGCTTCAGCTGGAAGATCTTGGCCAGCGTGAAGCAGAAACATCCCACCGTCAGAGCCGCCGCTCCGTACCCGATCATGGCCTGCCACTCCACCTCGCTGTATCCTCCCAGGATCGCGCCGGCAATAGGCGTGCCGATGAGGATCGAGATGCCCGACGTGAAGTTCATCATGCCCATGCGCGTCCCCACGCGGCCCAGGTCCGGCGACAGACTCACGATCACGCTCGGCGTGATGCTGACCATACCCCCCGAAAAACAACCGTAGATAATGGCGAACACGATCAGGCCCGCCATGTTGTTAATCCCCAGCCACGCGAACATCATAATCGCCGCCCCCGCAGCGAGCGACGTCTGCACGTACACCGCGCTGATCTTGTCCGCGAGGTAGTTGGGCACCACGCGCCCGGGGATGCTCCCCGCGCTCAGCAGCGTCACAAAGTACGACGAGAAGGACGCCGGGCCGATGCCGCGGCTGACGGCGAACAGCTGGATGTAGAAGAAGGCAATGTACATGGACAGGAACGCGAAGAAGGAGCCGACCATGACCAGCATGAAGGCCGGGTCGCGCAGCGCCGTCCGGTCAATGAGCGACCGCTTGTGCCCCGACGGCGGCAGGCGCGTGTGCATCCACAGCGCCGGGATGACGGACAGCCCGAGCAGGATGAAGCCCATGATGCGCGTCGCCCACCCGAAGCCGATGACGGGCTGCAGCCGGCCGAAGATGATGGGGAACACCATGCCCGCGATCGGGGAGCCCGTGGCCGCGATGCCGATGACGAAGGAGCGCCGCTTGAGGAAGTATTGGCTGAGGATCGCCGTCGAGGGGAGGAAGGTCAGCCCGCAGCCGAGGCCGATGCACACGCCCTGCGCGAGCAGTACCTGCCAGTAGGTCGTGCACAGCGAGGTCATGAACTGGCCGAGGAGGATGAGGAAGAGCCCCGCCCAGAGGAGCTCGCGGAAGTAGCCCGCGTCGTACAGCGGGCCGGAGACGGGCCCGACGAGCATCAGCAGCGCGCCCTGCAGCGAGCCGATCCAGGAGATGGCCGAGGGCGTCGCGGCGAGCGTCGTCTCGTAGTAGGTCTGGTACACGCCGAAGGTGTTGACGAGGCCCCACGTGGCGGCGAGGACGACCCAGGACCCGAGGACCTGGAGCCAGGCCTCGAGACCGCCGTCTGGGACGGCGCCGGGATCGGATGTCGTGGGTGCCGCCGCCGCGGAGGGTTGGGTTTCGGGGTCGTTGTCCGAGTTCGAGGCGGGCGTGAGAGTCGTTTCGGAGGGGTGGTTTAAACGGAGGCCCGGGGGCGCGGAGCCGTGCTTCTCATCGGCCTCGGCGGCCGGGTCTCGGGCCGAAGACATGTTCTAAATTTTTTGAGCTGGGATTTTTGCTCGTCGTTTCGTGGTGATGTTGTCCCGAGAGGGGGATCGTTGGTTCATGCAAGCCTCCTTGGCGGATGAACCTTGCTCGTTGCGACGTTGCGAGGGCGATCCTTTCGAAGATCTAGTCGGGAAATCTGCCCGGCGGCTCAAGTCGATGTTATAAGTGGGAGAAGGAGCGATTAAACATTAAATATGTGTTTCCCCCCAACAAGCGTGGTCTTATCCTGATCTGACGCCGAGCAAAAGAAAACGAAAGGTCGGAAGATGTATTAGAAATCGGGAAGTGGAATCGGCAAAGGACCAGTGGCGGCGGCGGCAGACCGACGGACATTTAAAAAAGGGATGGGAAACAATGGAACTCTGCGTATTGCACCATTGGCAAGGGTCCACTGTTCGCTATCTTTGGGGCCATGTAAAAGAAAAAAAATCTTTGTTGATGGATTTGAGATGCGCATCCGCCACCTCGTCCCGGCAGTGCGGACGCCAGGGCATGGGAGGGTTGCGATCGGGAGGCTTCTCCCGAGAAAGTGATGGTTTGTAGGCCTAGCTAATACACCTTGGTACTAGTGAACATATCCAGAAGCTGGGTGAATATGAAAGTGATATCTACCGTAGCCAGTCCCCGATTACTGAGAGACGCGGATGGTCTTTTCCCAGCAACCACCGCGTCTCTGGGCGAGGCCAAACATGTTGGCAGGGTGAAAGCAACAAAAGAATCAGAAGCAGGCTCGAAAGATTGCCGACGTCAACTCCCGTCCTCTGCTGGTCTCCGCTGTATTCCCACCGGCTAGGCCGAGTCTAGCTTAGGCTTCCCGGTGCACTGACGACTGGACCCTTGGGAACTCGAATGATTTCCACATTTTGACGACGACGACGATAACGGAGGGCCCACGGGGGAGGACGTTCTCGGCGGTACGCGGCCGCCGAGGCCGGTGCGGACGGGCCCATGCCGGAGGCCATTTGCATCCGAGACATTCGGCCTTGTTGGAAGGAGGTGATGTGAGGGCAGTGAAGCTCATACGATGATGAAGTCAGCCAGAGCTGGCGCGCAAACCTTGGGCCAGAGGTTGAGCGGTGCTTTAGGGCTTCAGCTCTGACGTGGTAGGTGACCGAAAGCTTGCTGTACTCAGAAAGAAAACCATCTCAGATGATGTGAAGTCAACTGCAGAATGCCAAAGCCAAAGAAGAAAACCACCGGGCCCAGCAACTGGACGGAAGCTGTGCTTCGGATGAAGCTTGCTTGACAGGGCGAGGTCTCCACACCTGTGCGCAAGGGTACTCGAGTAATGAATCCGCTTCGGAAATCACTGGGCAACTTGGCCGAGCGGTCTAAGGCGCCAGACTCAAGCGACGAGCTTGTCCTTCCAAAGGGTAGTATTCTGGTATCGAAAGATGCGTGAGTTCGAATCTCACAGTTGTCATTTTTGCCTTTTTATCGTCATCGGAATAGTCTAAAACATATTTTACTTTTTGATCTTTGATGCTTAGACGCAATTTGATGAGGATTGATGAGTCGCGAATAATGAATAGGATCATTCAATTGTAAGCCACGTTGATTCTTCACAGAAAGGAAGCTAGCTGCCCAGTGGGGATTATGCTTAACTCGTTAGGCTTTGAGCTTGGCTTTGGCAGCCTGCAAGTGCGAATGTTGGCGCAAATCTTGTGGGCGCATGGGCAAAGTATCTCATTCACCACCGACCTCACTCAATCCATCCCAATCATTGCGACCGAATTTCGGATTTCTACCATCGCAAGTATTATTCAGAGAAAAGAGTCCACGGCCACATGAGAATAGGTCACCCTCAAGTCCTTTCGCCCAGGGTACAGACGCACGGGTCACCGTTTCCCGCCGCTCCGCCGTTCTCAGACACAAAGTGTCGGATCTCCTTCAGATCATCGACCGGCCAGCGACGCCACGCACCGCCGTTGGGAGGGACATCAGCCCAGAGGGTGTTTCACATTGGCCGAATAATAGGGACATGATGTCGCGTCCTTGGCTGGCCGCCCAGGAGTTTGGGCCTTGGGTTTTCTATCCTTCAATGATCGAATTGTTAGTTTGAAGCGTTCGATAGTCAAGCTGTATCTTGTTCTTCGAAGAAGACATACATAACCATCGTCGTCAGTCCTCACTCATCAAGAGCTCCCTCTATAAGACGACGACAACCGACAACATGAATCACGGCTACTCAGACACCCGTCGCGGTGTCTCGCCTCACAATGACTCCATGACCGACATCAGCGTGTCGCTGCTCAGCGAAGACGACAAGCCGTGGAAGCAAGCAGACATCGAAGACGGCGGCGGTTGCGCAACACGACGAAGCCGGTGCGCCAAGAAATGCGAGGCCTTCAGGCGCTGGCGCTGGGTATTGGACACGGCTCTGATTCTCGTCGTCATCGGCCTCCTCGTCGAGAGGCGATACCTCCAGTCGCCCGCCCGCGACAAGCGTCTCGAGCCCGTCGGCGACCTGACAGGCTTTGCGCCAGAATGTTCGTACATTCCCATCCCAGTCGAATCTCCTCCTGGCTAACACAAGAAACCTCCAGTCACCCAGCAAATAACAACCTTCCACCCGACAACAGACTTCGTCCCCGACGACCCAAAATCGCTCTTCACCAACGCCTCCCTCCAGGAGAACTGGCTCAAGATGGTGCCCCGCGGCCTCGGCTACCTCGAGGTCAAGAACCCGCGCGCCCACAGCAACCTCCCCGTGCCGCTGCCGGAGTTCGCCCCGCGCACCGTCTTCACCACCTCCATGACGCACCAGCTGCACTGCCTCTACGCCATTCTCGAGAGCTACGCCGGCCTCTCCGTCAACGGCTCCGCCGCCGTCGACATGCACTCCCACATCCCCGAGGGCACCGAGGGCGCCGACGGGCCCTGGCACCTCCAGCACTGCTTCGAGTACCTGCGCCAGGCTATCCTGTGTTCGGGCGACGTCGCGCTCGAGGGCACCCAGACGACCTTCCCCCCCGGGTTCACGGGCAGCGACGGCTGGGACGCGAAGCACGTGTGCAAGGACCCCAAGCAGGTGTATGACTATCTCGACAAGAACCGCGCGTTGGACGACCACTGGATTTGATGATATCTTGGGATGAAAATTGGAGTTTTGGGGAACGGGCTGTTTTTTTGGGTTATCGGCGTTTTGGGACGGGAGGTGTTCACTTTACGGCCAGAGCCCGCAAAGCATGGATGAATTCATTGAGACACTTTATATATACAGGCCGGCCGAAGTCTTTTTGCTTAGCGAACCAAGCCATCTTTTATTTTCTCAATCTGTATTGTGAGCCGTTGCACAGCTATCTTGAAAGACGCTAAAAGTCAGAAAGCGCGTGCGAAGACTATTAAAGCAAAAAAGCATCAGCCGTGAGAATCAGCAAAAGGTAATGGACGTTTAGGGGATTGAACCCTAGACCTTCCGCAGATGCGAGTATGCAAAGCGGACGCGCTACCACTGCGCCAAACGCCCACCAACGCGTTATGTGAATAACTTCGGATACTGTCATCCGGTCACAAAATAGTACATGTACGATGGGCGCAAATGTTGCATATTCGCTCCGGATAGTAAATCCCGCTCCAGCTTTGCTTATGCTAATCGTCAAGGGCTTTTGATCAGTCGCCCTCCGTTTCTCATGCCTTTTCATCGATAATAAGATTGATGCAGAGGCCAGGATGTGTTGATAGAAACGACCTCAGGTAACAGGGAATACCACCAAACAAAAGCAGTCCGCGTCGGGCCTCACTGTACTGGACAGAAAGAATGATTCGTTTGAGGCCAGAAGTGACGGTAACATAATCCGAGGGTTTTGGGGAGTCTCCAAGCACCCGTTGTTGATTCCCTGCTTCCCCCGGCTGTCGTCTGATTGCCTCCAATGGGGCTGCTTGCGCAAACTCAATAACCCATTCCGTGCAGCAGAACCTTCACCCAGGGCGAATGTGTATCGTTGAAGAGTAAGAGAAATAGCGCTTTGTGAGCTTGACGAACAAAAATCCTGAGCACATCCGAGGCCCTTGAGTGTCTTGGCTGCACTTGGTTCTGATCGGTCCTGCTGAGACAAATACTGCGCATGGGTTTTCCGCAAGTTCTTCTACAGCCTCTTACGATCGCTCGTCTTCGACCCGGTGGAAAACCGGAGGCACAGTCAAGCATTGGGCCAAGATGCTTGGCAAGTGCAAACGGGTCAGGACCCAAAATCAAGACTAGGCCAAGCATCAGGAATTGACCTTCGACTTGGCCCCAGCAACTTGGCCATGTCATAAGAGCAAGGGTTACTTACATACAATGCAGATCATAAAGCATGCCTTCCATGCACTCGAGGAGCACTCGGCAGATAATACCGTGGAGAGCAGTATAACCAATGAGCACAGAAAGTCATTTTCAGAGTGAAAGCTTGAAATGATTGCTTCGAAATATGATGGTACCTCGGGCGCGCAGGCCGCAGAGGTGCAAAACCTCCTGAACACGCTCTGGTATCCTTTATAACTCCCTGTCCAGGCCGAGATTCGCCCAACGCCGATATCCAGTTTACTGGTAAGGTACTATACAATGAGTTTGGAGAGCTTGCCTCGTCCTGACAGCACTCGCTCAGTGTGTATGTGATTTGCCGATTCAGGCCATATGTATCAAAAAAGATCGCCACCAAATTTTCTTCCTTTGCACGGGGGCTCATTAAATCCAGCCGTCATTCATCCGGTTTTCTTCCTTCTCTTCTATCCAGGATCAACCGTCACCTCTCGTCATCACGAGGTCTGGCGCTGGATGGCTCAATCACGATCTGTGGTAATTGCTGTAGCCGAAGGCTTGGTAATTGTGGTATCTTCCTCTGCTGGCTCTGTTGGCTTTGCTGCCCAGGTTGGCCAGTCGTGTGCTCCTCCGCGGCCAAGTCGGCCATATTTGAGGCAAGATTGTCTGCGCGTTGTTGAGAGGGTCCGGGATAGGTCGGAGGGGGTTCGACGTTTGGCTGAGGAGTGTTGCTTCTGGAGTGTTCATCGTCGAGGGAAACTTCGTCGTATCCGGGAGGAGAGTAGATGGGGATGCCGGCCTCTCCAACATCGGCCTCGATAATCTCAGGGCTCGAACCGGCTCTTGTGTCTAGACGGGGCGTATCTGGTCGCGAGTTCGCCCGGGATCTCGGCAGCCCAGGAGAGGGGAGGTCGCTGTCGATACTCATAACGGAGCTGCCTCTCCTGTGGCCCGACTCGGCAACGGACCTGGTTGATGTGGCGGCAATACTAGCAGCGTCCGATAACAAGCCCATCCTCTCGCTTTCCTGGCTGTTGGCTCGAATTCGGGTGCCATCGTGACGTGCAACGCCAAGATCGGCGTAAGATACGCTGGAGACATTTCTTTGGCGTTCGGCCTTGATACGTTCATGCTCTTCGCGGAGGACGCCAACGACACTGTTGTTGCTGGCGTTGCGGGCTTGTGTGCGGATGTTCTCCAGAGCAACGTGGTCGCCACGGTCTCGCGCTTCGCGACGTTCTCTCCTCCTCTCCTCGCGTTCGGCAAGTTCTTGTCGTCGAGCCAGGCGAATCTGGTACAGTGCTTCCATCTCTTGGTCACGCAGTTCCTCCTCATTCTCCTCCGTCGGGTACTCAATGACAACATCCACACCGCCACGCTCGCCCTCACGACCCAAAACCTGTTCGTTATCGTTGGCATCGACCCTGTAAGCTGGTAGGGTCATGACTGAGCGAATAGAAGTGTTGCGGTTCACGGCGCTGTTGGGGGAGCGGCTGTCGGCCTGTGACTGGTTGGTGGAGGCATCGAAGCGCAGGGAAGTCGGGCGAGTACGGGAGCTGCGGGTGGCTAGCTGTTCGGTGGAGTTTGATTCTTCATCCTGAGCCTGTTGGTACCTGCTCCGGCCAGCGCCCGTGTTCCATATTTTGAGAAAGCCTCCACGGGAGGAGTTCTTCGAGGGCTGGCGATTGCGTCGAGAGGCGCGGAAGGAGAATATTACAAAGGCGACGAAGATAATGAGGACCAGGGCGGCGAGGATTGCCTGTATTGGCGATAGGTGTTAGTGGTGTTGTTGACTGGCACGAGCGGCTCGGGGCCATGGCATGATAGTGTACTTACAATGATGGTGACTTTCCTGGGATCGCTATCGCCGTCACGGCGCCGCAAGGCCCTGGACGAGTGCTCTCGAGCAACTCCCAGCAACTGCAGAGGTATTCGCATATTGAGATACATGTTGGTAAAGAAACGAGTGACAAAGGATAGAGGGCGCAGAGCGGAAGAGGCGGCGGTTAAGAGGGCGGAGGTGACTAAGGTAAGGCGTAAGGCGAATTACGGCGGGGCGTCCCAGCTGCGCAGGGCAAAAAATAAGCGTCAGAGCTGGGACATTGAGAACCGACGATTGACAACAGCAGATGGAGAAGGGCAATATGGAGGAATTCGCGACGCGCGAAATGTAATCGAAGTCGGTTGCGAGAAGGGTTTTCTTCCGGTGGGTTGGAGGAACGGTACGAGACAGGAAGGAGGGAAGCAGCGGCGGGAAGCGCAGACTGCTGGCTGGTAGGTGTGTGTGAGTGTGTGTGAGAGAGGTGCGGATGAGGTGAGCGAGGTGAGGCAAGGTAAGGTCAGGAAGGAATGGAACAACAGGTGCAGGACAGAGGTGCAGGTCCCAGTTTGCAGGCAAGGTCCCGGGGGGGCAACCCAAAGGCCAGGTCCAGGTCCAGGTTAAGGACCAGGACCAGGTGCGTTAGTGTACGAGGATGCCAGGTGGGACACGGGATGGGGATTGGAGAGGGTGCCAGTGGGTGTGTTCAGCCAGGAGGTGTAAGAGATGCCTTTTAGGTATTTAGGGACCGACCTCGCCTTATTATTAGCAGGAGCTGAGGGTGGAGGAGAGGGGTTTGAATGGGGAAGAGAGAGACAGAGAGAGAAGAGCAGTGAAGGGTTTAAGGATAGGTAAGGGTGGATGGATATGAATAAGGTACTGGATGCAAATGGATATGGAGATGGATTCCAGATTATGGATTATGGGAAGGAGGGACGTGGAGGCAGCAGCGTCAAGTCACGGTCACAGGTTGACCGTCAGCCCGGGCAGGCAGGAGGACACTGGAGGAGGTCAGGTCCAGGTCCCGTCAGCACCACCGTTCGTTCATTCCCCCATTTTGCAGTTCCAGCCAAGCCTTTTCCTTTTTTTTTTTTTTTCTTCGGTTCTGCCTCTCGTGCCTGAGGTGCCATCTCGTTCTCCTTTCGAGCATCTGCAGCTCCGGATGCAATGCAATGCTCGGTGCACGCAGTGCATTCATTCATTTCATTTCGCAGACCACTCCCAAAAACCGCAATCATCATCACCCACCACCAACAAGACAGTAGACCTACCTACCTTACCCAATGCTGTGCAAAGGCCGTCCCTCCGCCGACAACCCTGGGCCTCCAAAAACACGACCTCGACGGAAACACTAACGTCCCACCCCGGGTTCGTGTATGCTCCTTAGTGGGCGCCGGCGGCGGGAACAGCCAGACCCTGAGCCAATCAGCCGCCCCCTCTGCTGCGACGATGCGAGTCGTCGCGTCCTCTGCAAAGGACCCCGCGGATGCAGCTCCTCGATGATATCAGACCAAGAGACACCGCCCGTCCCCGATGGCTGGTCCTGCGCCCGAAGGGACCGAACCGCCACGGAAGAGACGGACGCCCAAGAGGCTATGCCCTGCCCGTTGACACACGACGACGTCCACACTGGATGAGGCTCTCCGGATGGCAGGGGAAGCAATCAATGCAACTTTTTGAGTTTACAGAAGATGGCACCTGTCCAACTGGTGTTCGTCGAATGAACAACCCCTCGAATATTGATCTTAAGAGTATTGCAGCCGGGAACATACGCGACGGGAAACACGAACGGGCGAAACAATGCGGAGGGAAGAGCCCTGTCGTGTCCAGCAAACGGACCAAGCCGAATCTCGGGAACCGACCTCTCCATCAATGCGTCTCCCGCGCTTCCTTCGATTAGATTCAAGCAATTGGTATTCCCTCGGCCTTCACCGACGAACCACTTCACCCGCCCATCTCCAGCTGTATGCCGTCAGACCCTAAACATTCCCAGTTCGACATCAGCCATCAAGCCACCAAG